ACCAGCACTGATCCCAACTCTGGAGAGGTTTTATTTGTATTTGTAGAGTAAATAAAATTACACGTTTACATGTATTTCTCACTGTTGTGAACACAGTGTGCACTGGGACATTTCTATTTTATTCTTATTGTGTTGTTTTTGGGATGCCTTGTCAGAAATCTGACTGATGATACCTCAAAGCCTCCAGCATACTGTAACCCAATGTAAATCCAATTTAAAAGAGTTGATTGAATACACATTCAGCTCTCCTAGGAACTAATTAACTAAATGCCATGTTACATTTAAGTAAAAACCTTAAAAACTATTTTACTACTACATTATATTTCATTAATTTAGCAGAATCTTTTGTCTGAAGCTACAGTTTTAGTCAGGGGTCTCCAACCTTTTTGAGAGTGAGGGCTACCTAAATGTCTACTGTGATATTTAATGTTAGAATGATGCTTTCGATAGTAGACCAGTGGTGTGTATTTTCACCTTAAGTCATTTTTATATACAGGGTTGAGCCAATTTGACTGTTATTGCACGTGTGGTGAATGTAAATGATCTTATGAGAAATCTGCTGATATGATCAGAGACTTAATTTTTACTCTCCTCGCCTAATTACAGTTAACCAACTAAATGAAACACCATGAAAATCTAAAAGTGCAACTCAGTGAAAGTCACCACGGGCTTGCAGAAATGCAAATGCAGAAGGGCAGAATAAGTAATCATGGTTTCAACTCAGAATATCTAATAAAGGAAAGTCTCAGTATACCTTTTTAATGAATAATATCCGTCATGTATTTAAATGTTTTTTAAGTGTTTTATGTTTGATTACACGATAGTTCTCTGGACTCCTCGTAGGTTGCTCAGCAGCTGCCAGGTGCCTGCGGGCACCATGTTAGAGACCCGTGGTTTAAGTGCTTAATTGGGTTTTGGAAAACAAGTTTTGGACGTGTAATATCCGCTGTAAGTGATCTCTGAATGTTTCAGTACAATTGGCTGGCTGATCCCCTGAGACACTTGGATCACAGACTGTGTGGATATTTGTTCAACAGAAAGTCTCATAGGATGAGGCTAAGGAGGCTTCTGTGTCGTTTCAGGCTGTCAGGGTCCTGGCTGTCGGACAGAAAAGGAGAATCTACGACATCACAAATGTGCTGGAGGGTGTTGGTCTGATTGTGAAAATTTCCAAAAGCATTGTGAAGTGGAGGTACGTTTTTAAGCCCGCCTCGTGTGCATGTATTTAGATATGCAATGTATTTTAAAAGGGTTGCGCAAAATATATTTTACACTATATTTACTTATGCTTTTTCTAAATAAGGGGTACACTGCCAGGAGAAAATACGCACCAGTCAAACAACAGACTGACAGAATTAAAGTCTGAGCTGGAGGACTTGGAGCAGAAGGAATATATGTTGGACCAGCAGAAATTCTGGGTTGAACAGAGTATCAGGAACACAACAGAAGACTGCAGCAAATATCCTTTTCACAAAAAATGTAGCAAAAGATGCAAAAAATGTTTTGTTGGAACTTTTCCTGCTTTTTTTTTTTAACTTAAAAGGTGACATAGGACAGCAGATTTAATGTGTTTTATTCCTTTCTGACACAAATGCTGTACTTTCTTTGGCAGAATCTATTCTAGTAAATGTCTGTCATGCAGGGCTGCTACTTTCTGAGTCCTTGACATTTCTCCACAAAGTGACACAATATTTCAAATTAAACCTTAACTCAAATCAACTCTGACCTATGTGAATCATGAAGATATCTGCAACTGCTTCAGTGGTAATGTATCATGACTTTTCCCTTTCTTGTGTCACCATATTTTTTGATACAGTTGAAAAGTAGAGTGGCAGCACGAGTCAGAAACTATTATTCCTCATTGATTTCCCTTACTAGATTAACACCAAAGAAATGTGTAACTGAATTTTAGGCTCTGAACAGGCGAGATGTAGAATTCACAAAATAGATTGTAGCTCAGAATCAGCTGATGTTTTGGCGTTTCAGTGTGTTTTCCTACTTGGATTAATGTCAACACAGCTGGACAAACACTGCTGTATAAGTTCATAAAGGTCCTTACATCACCACAAGGGCCGACATTGTTTCAGATTTATTTTAACCTAAAATATATAAAATATAAAACATATGGAAGGACCAGACTAAATGATTTCTTTGTTGATGACTTGTGTATGAAAAGTGAATGATTTTCACTCCTCTTTCTCCAGGTAACACACTCTTGGCAGTACAAGCGCCATCTGGCACACAGCTAGATGTTCCCATTCCCAAAGCTGTAAGTCCTGCGTCACTAGAACCTACTGTTGTTTTTTCTTTATGGCTTTCTTTAGTTCAGATGGGATTATTTATAACGTGTGTATATCTCCTTTCAGGTCCAGAACAGCCCGGCAAAGTACCAGATCCACCTGAAAAGCATTAATGGGCCAATAGATGTCGTTCTTCTTAACAAACTCTCTGTCAGCTCAGTTCCTGTCGTACTGCCGGTCCCTCCGCCTGAGGAAATTTTACGGAACGCCAAATTAGCCATGTCTACTTCAGATGAGACTGAAAGCAGTATCGCACCATGTCAGGCTCCCGCTGCTACCAAACAAAGTACCAGACCTAGGTGGACGGGTTTAGAGGACATGCGGCATCTTCAGTCATCGTCATTTATGAAGAGCAAGCCTAACAGAACTGATACATCTCAGTGTGAGTATTTTAGTTTGTACAGTCTCTGATGTGTGTGTTGCTGATATGAAAGAGAAACCTAACACTCTATTTTAGCTTTAACTCAACCCCTGTTGATCTAAAGTCTGGATCAATCAGAGAGGCAGAGAACTGCTGTTGAAATAACCAACTTAGACCAGATACCACAGCACACCTTCAGAACTGGTTTTGATGTGTCTTTCATCTTAGATTATTTCTTGTATGCTCATAAATTAACTTGTTCCTGTTTCAAGCATGTTTATTTCAGTGCAAATTTGTTTGACAGATTTTTTAAAACTCTATTTTACAGTGCGAGACTTATCAAAAGAACTGGAGGACCTGCTACAGCCCACCAAAAGTATGGACCTTGTTGTATCTTGTGTCTCTGAATTATTTGTATTCATTAAATTATTTTGTAACTTTGACTGTATATGAATGTATAATTAAGCATGTATTCATCATTCTACAGAACTAATGAGTGCAGATATAATCAAAGAGCTTTTGACCTCTGAAGGTAAGTTTAATTTTCTGACTTCATATTACATCAGCCATAACATTATGAGCACTGACAGGTGAAGGGAACAACACTGATAATCTGGTTATCATGGCACCAGTCAGTGGGTGGGATATATCAGACAGCAAGTAAACATTTTACCTTCAAGTTGATGTGAAAAATGGCCACTGTGAGGATTTGAGCGACTTTGACAGGGGCCACATTGTGACAGCTAGACGATTGGGTCAGAGCATCTCCAAACCTGCAGCTCTTGTGGGATGTTCCCGGTCTGCAGTG